TCATTAGTGGTTGTAGGTAGTTGTGTATCTTCCATTATCCTCTTCATACTCTTCATACTCTTCATCTTTCCTCTTCACGCGGTTTATCTTCCTCAATTTCAATATCTTTTTTCTTCTTTGGTGAGACGGTGTCGCTAGGCTAGATATAATCTATCATTAGTGGTTCTTGCTGGAGAGAATCTTCCTTCACCCTCTTCATACTCTTCATACTCTTCATCTTCCTCTTCACCCTTTTTATCTACAAAAAATTTTTATCTTTTTTCTTCAATTTGATCTGGGGAAACACCGCAATCACAAACTTCTTAGATTTCTTCTTCTTTTGAAATAATGATATCACTAATAAAATTAAAAAAAATATTTTTTGGATCACTTCGCAAAATATCTTCAAAAAAAAATTTTCTTATAAATTTTTAAAAATGGCTTTTTTTGGATCCAACCAAATAATAATTTTTTTTTTTTTATAATTTTTTTTAATTACCTAAAAAAAAAAAAAATATTTAAATTTTTATTATGTGGTTGTTCCACACATAACATTTTATTTTTTTTTTAAAAATTTTTTTTATTATAATAAATAATGATATAAAAACAAATATATTAAATAATAATAATAGTGATATCATTATTTCTCAAGAAGAAGATAACCAAGAAGATCGTGATACCCAAGTTTCTCAAGATCAAAAAGAAGAAAAAAGATATGAAATTGAAGAAGATAAAAAGGGTGAAGAGGAAGATGAAGAGTATGAAGAGTATGAAGAGGATGAAGGAAGATACACAACTACTACAACCACTAATGATAATAAAAGATTCATAATTGATAATGGTGTAAGTTGTTATTTTCTTTTAATATAGTTTTTAGTCAAAATTAACTCACTAACGCCAAATTTATTAATACCAGCCCCAAAATATTTCAAAACAAAAAAACCATCCTTTTGTTAAAGAAAAGCACCAATATGGTAATACAAAATTACAAACACCAAGTATAGATTCTGCAATTGATCCAAAGAAGCGTAAACTTGACAATTTTGAACCAAAAGATGAGAAAGAAGAGATTGAAGATGAAGAAATTAATTTCAGTTCATTTACAGAAAGAGAAACTCAACTTTTAAAAAAATCAGAAAAGGCAAGAGAGTTGAATTACAAATAACCATAAATCATTTAAATGGCTCAATACATAAAAACATAGTCGAATATGAGAAGAACCTTTCACAACTCGAAATAAGTTGTATTACAAAAAACCATAGATCGTTTAAATGAATGAATATATTAAATCAAACTTGAATATGAGAAGAACCTTACACAACTAAAAGAAGAAATTCTCAAAAACAATAATAAAAAACAGTATACAAGAAAAAGAAAATTTTATTTTAAATACAAGAAAAAATCAAAATAAATCTAAAAAAGATCTGATAGAAATTGTTGAGGGCTCTCGCTCAAACCAAAGAAGATGAAAAAGATCTTATTATAGAATCATTAAGAGAAGAAAATCAAATTCTCATAGAAAAAATCAATTATTTCGATTCAAGATTATCCAAATTCACCTCGAGCCAGTTTTTGCATTTTTTACATAATTATGGTAAATTATGCTAGAAAATGGTAAATTATGTAAAAAAAATATATAAACTTTTTTTTGGGAAAAGAAAAAGTATATATATATTTGGTCCAAATTGTATTAAAAGTCAAAATAAGTAATGAAATTGAATATGAATATTTTAAAATACATATTTTAAAAAATAATAATATTACATCAAAGGGCTGGGTAGATACACAATGGATAGATGAAGAAAAAAAGATAGATGAAGAAAAAAAGAAAGATGAAGAAAAAAAAAAAAAAAAATTAAATACCAATAAATAACTAAAAATAAAAATAATCAATAAATTCTTTTGATCTCTTTATTTATTTATTATTTATTTATTTATTTTTTTTTTGTTTCTTTTTTTTTTTATGTTTATTACTTATTCAGTTATGGTTAGTTGGTTGTCCCAATTTGGAATAAATTTTTTTTTTTTTATGTATATCTAATATCATTTTTCTCCAATGATTTATTAAATCGTAATCCGGGACATCAATTTGTGGTCGAGGAAGAGTTATCTTTTCTGAAATTTTGTAGTTCATTAATATCAATTGGTCGTCAAGGTGACTCTTATTATGAATATCTTTTAAAAATGTGGATCTATACAGATGGCGAAGATGAAAAGTATTCAAGATATTTAAAAACCTCTGCAGATTTAATAATCGAGCACCTATATAGAAAAACTAAAGCTGGATATGGCTTTATTGGTACTCTTAAGGACAATGTATTGTTGGTAAACGAGGATCATCTTACCTGTTTTGTTGATGGTATGTTTGCATTGGCAGCTGCTGTTAATATTACTGGGAATGACGAAAAGAATGAAATCTATATGGAGGTCGGTAGAGAAGTTACAAGAACATGCGCAGATAGCTATTTTAAATCACCCATTGGTTTGGGTCCAGAGATTTTTGGATCTGATCAAGAGACTGGTGAAATTGCTTTAAGCGAAGTCAATGCATTTCTTTTAAGACCAGAGACTGTAGAGTCTATTTTTATTCTCTATCGATTAACTGGAGATACAATGTATCAAGATAGGGGTTGGGCTATATTTGAAGCTATTGAAAAGTACTGTAGAATATCCAATGGTTATATAGGTTATAGAGATTTTTTAACTGGTTCCAAAAATACAGTCCAACAAAGTTTTTTATGGCAGAAACATTAAAATACCTCTATCTATTATACAGCGATTCAAACACAATTCAATTAGATAAATATGTATTTAATACCGAAGCACACCCATTATTAATCAAATATAGTAAATTATAAAAATAAAAAAAATAAAAATCGATAATATTATTTATTTTAAATTAAAAAAATACCTCCATTTTTATTTTTTTTTTTTTAATATTTAGGTTTTTATTTTTTTATTTTTTTTTTTTTAATGAATAAAAATAGACCCTACTATTGAGGATCCATTATAATATTAGAAATTTGAATCACTAATATTATTTTGGTATATTATAATAATAGAATGACATTTTTTCATTTTTTAATTAAATTTTAAAAGAGTGAATTGGATAAAATGGTGTTATTTTTTTTTTTAATAATAATATGGTAATTTTATAATAACCATGATTATATTCATCTGTTTTGATTATTTTAACTTAAACTTAAAATATAATTACTTTATACTTTTATAGAGTATTAAAAAAAAAAAATTTTAATTAAAAAAAAAAAATTAAAATTAATAATTTTAAAAAAAATTTTTCTTCCTTTTTTATATAAATTTTTTTATAAATATATATTGCATATCTTTATAATTTTATTTTTATACATCTTTATATTTTAATCATTTTTTATAATTATCGTTTATTTATATATCACACACTTTTTATTAATATTTATACTTTTAAATTGTTAAATGTTAATTTAATTATTATAATTGGCCATTATAATATTAACTAGAATAAATTGATATTATTATTAATTAGACTATGATAATTTGAATTGCTATTATCTTGATTGATTATTGATTAGTAATTTGAAAAGATGATTGCCATTTACATATTAAGATGTAAAGGTGGTATTGTAGTTAAAGAGATGAATAAGAGATAAGATGGGTAATAGGTGACCATAAATATTATTAATATTGTTGACTTTAGCAGAACTAGGATCAAAGAGGAATAGGGAATACAATTTGAGCATAGCTTGAATGATTTCCAAAGTGAACAGTTATAGAAGGTTCAATAAAAAAGACTGTAATATAAAAGAAAAGTAATTGTAGAATTACAAAGTAATATGGATTGGGGAAAGATTGAAGTAATTGTAGAACATTGATATTAAATCCCAAGAGTTTTGGAGGTGGCAGGCTTTTTAATTTCATTTTTATTTTTTGATTATTTTAAAGTTGGTTTTTTTTTTTATTATTAAAGAGGTAGAAAAATGGGATAATTGGATAATTATGTATGTTTTTTAAAATGGGGAGTTTTAACTATTTTTAAAAATAGTTATAACTCCCCATTTTAAAATATATTGTTATTAAAATGAAATTGAATTATTAATTTTTAAAAAAAAAAAATTATAATAAAAATATTTTTAAAAAATTAATTTTTAAATTTTAAAATTTTTATCCATATATTTTATTTATATTATATATATTTTCACATCCTTTTATTTTTACCAGCTTATATATTTTTACACCATATCAACATCAAATACATATTACATTTTATATTTTACATATTTTCAAAATCTTATATTTTATACATACAAAATGAAACTTTCGAAAATCCAATTAGAGGAATTATTACGCGATTTATTAATCCAATTACAGTACTCCAGAGGCGAAAATAAAAGCTTTTTTAAAGAAGGAGTTGATACTGCTAGAAAAGAAATTTTAAAATTAGAAAAATTAGAAAGATTAGAAGCATTAATAATAGAACAAAATAATGAAATTCAAGAAAATAATGAACAATTTATAAACAATCAAGAACCAGAAATCGTTCAAGATAATGAAAATGAACATCCAACACATAACTTCCCAATTGAAAATGAAGAGCCAATTCATGTTTCACCACCATATCACTACCCTTATGAATTGGAAGAACCTATTTATTCAACACCTCCACAACAACAACAACCACACAATCTTATAAATGATTTTGAACAAGAAATAGATGATTATATTCATGACCAAGAAGAACACAATTTAGATCAACAAGACGAACAACAAGACGACTTCCCACCAACTCAATCACCACCACATGAAGATGAAGAATCACAACAATCAGATTTCCCACCAACTCAATCACCAGTTTTAGAACAACCACAAGCTCCACAAAGAAATGTTCATTTCAATCTTGATTTGAATATCTATTATGAACCTATACCAACACCACCACTTACCCCAACACCACCACTTACCCCAACCCAAGAAGAATAATATAATAATCAATAATCAATAATCAATAATCAATAATCAATAATCAATAATAATAATAATAATAATAATAATAATAATAATAATAATAAATAATAATAATAATAAATAATAATAACAATAATAACAATAATAACAATAATAATAAATAATAAATAATAAATAATAAATAATAATAATAACCAATAATCAATAATCAATAATAATCAATAATAATAATAACATAATATAAATAATATAATAATCAATAATCAATAATCATATATATATATATATAGTATATATATATATATAATATATATATATATATCATATACATCATAGTATATATAGTATATATATATATATATATATGATATATATATATATTTATATAATATATAAAAAAAAAAAAAAAAA